ATGATATAGAAGTGGCTTAGGGCTTGTTTGTTAACATCTTAATGAGCTTAATGTGACTCACAGTTTACACGGTTAGATATACATGATTGTTTGGTGGTGGCTTAATGATATAGAAAATGGCTTGTTCAGTAAGGGGGGGGGGGGGGTTGTTATGCAGAAAGCAAAGTTTTTTTTTCCAAATCTGCCCCTCCTAATTAAAAAACACGCTCCAAAAATTCACTCAAACAAAACTTTCAATCTATACAGATTGATTAATCCACATAGACTGTTTTATCCATACAGGACTTGATGAAAAACCAACCAAATAGCACCTTATTTGGTAAAAGCTTCTAAGAGGGAGAGCTTTATGCAGAAAACCAAGTTTTTTCCAAACATGTCCCTCCTAGTTAAAAAACAAGCTCCTTCCATCTATTAAGAACCCCTCCCAAAACAAAAACATTCCCAATCTATATTAGATAGATTAATACACACAAACAACTTTATCCATATAGAACTTAATGGAAAACCAACCAAACAACCAACCATTACGAAAATGATACAGTTTCTCATTTAATCATATCTTGGATTACCTCAAATGATTTGCCGGATCGTTCAAAATCCAGCATGCTTAGAGCAACTTCACAGCTCTGTGAAACAATGGGCTCTGGGTCCTTGGAAAATTCTTCAAGTAGAGAGATACATTGGTCATCTATTAACACAACAAAAATGAAAACCGTGTCAAACTCATAAGAATATCAAAATTTTGAAGTAGGAATTAACTTTCTGGAAACACTAAGAACGTATTTGGCAACCATAAGCTAGCTTATTGTTTAGATTTATTGAAAAAGCCTCGTTTGGTTAGTCATAAACTAGCTTTCTAAAAACATACTTCAAGTAACGTTTCAATAAGCTCCAAGTATTTTTTACCACTTTTTTCCAAATATACCCCTTACTACTTTTCCAATTGAGTTTTCAATATATACTTTTAGATCATTTTATATTGTCACTTAGCTTATCAACCAACAACTAGTTTATCAAGTATAGCCTCAGGATGTGTTTGCTACTATGGACAGTTAAAAACAGAATAGGGATCACTGTTCCACGTTTGACAGGACTACTATGTGGAACAGAGGTAACAAAGTGGAACAGAGGTGTTCCACCTCCACCCCATGGAACGGACTTATATTTTACCTATATAACCTCAAAATAAAGCCTAATTCTATTTTAAAACATCAAATACGTCTCTCTCTTTACATTTTATTCATTCTTTAAATTTTATTTATAGTATTTTATGCTCTTTAAACTTTTACTTTACTGTCCTCAAAATATTAGAGGGTATTTGGTTCATGGATTTTGAAGGAATTGGAATGGATAATTCCTTTGACAAAATTCCAAATCCTATGTGTGGTTCACATAATGAAATGTAGGAATCCTTTGAATTCCATTGAATTCCACAAATTAAAGAATCCATCATTCCTTGGCATAAGTGAAGAAATTGAATTCCATTTCTTTCCATCGAACCAAAAGCGTGGTAAAATTCCATAAATTCCATTCCAATTCCTTCAAAGTCAAATTCCTTTGATGGATCCAATTCCACCAAATTCCATTTCGCGAACCAACTTATACGGTTTCTTTATTTTGATTAATTTATGTAATTTATTAAATATTAACAATAAAAAAATATATATAGAAAAGCTATAAACTGAAAACTACATAAAGTTTTATTTTAGTGTCATTTTAATTGTCTTGACGAAAACTTTCTGATGATATATTTTCTTATAAAAAATATTTATTTTATTATAACTTAATAAATTAATCAAAATATATAAACAACCCATCATGAGTAAATTGGTCATCTTATCTGTTCCGTCCTCTACAGCTTTGTCTTAGTGTTTACCAAACGCCGAACAACTGTTTTGTCCTATCTGGATACCAAACACACCCTAAATGTACCTAATGTTAGGTTCTATTGTATACACATTCTAACATTAACCACAATGCAACCTCAATCTAGTTTGACACTATGTTTTGCACCAGATATACAGTAAGTAATCAAACCTGCAATAGAACCCAGAGCCTCAGCAGCTTCATGTCTAACCATAGGATGCTCATTCACATCTTTAAGTATCCTCGAGAGTGCATCTGAAGCAGATTTGTTTTGCAACTGCCCCAAGACATACGCAACCTGAAATCCCAGGAAAATAGTTAGCCTACATAAAGGAGGATATGAGGTAACAGAATCATGATTTAAGAAAGAAGCTCGTTGTCAACCTCATGTCGTAATAAAGCACTTTTTGCATTTAAAGATTCTATTACGGCAGCAACTGCTTCATCACCTCCATGATTTCGTAGTCCAAAAAGAGCTCCATATCTCTCATACATACCCTTTTCTTCATTTAAAATGACTTCCCTGTATGAAATCAAAGTCGGCTAGATATATCATCAATGATCAAACCTTGTTTCGTGAAGATTTATAACAAATGGACCCATCATCCCAAAATTATCAGCTTCTTTTGGGTGTGTTTGGTACACGGACTAGGACAGAACAAAAACTTGTTGTCCAATGTTTGGCGCGACATAAGACTGGGACAGGACTATGTGGGACAAAAATGCATCTTTTTTCCCACCAAAATAGGTGGAACAAAAATCAAGAAGATGGGACGATATTGGTAAACTACTAAACTACCAATGTCAGTTTAAAACCCTACAACCTTCCACAATTCTTTCACCTACCTATCTGACTCTCATCTATCCCATCTTGTCCTATCCGTTGGTGGAAGATATTTATAAGGATATCCTATGACAAAGAGGTAGATGTGACGCCCCCGGCCCCTTAGACCAACGGAGCATATTGGCTCAATAACCTCAAAATCAACTTAAAACCATGGTGAAAGTTATTAGTATCCCACAACTTTGAACTTATAAGGCGATCACATATATACTTTTCTATCCATGTGGGACGGATTGTCATAGCAGCATATAAAGTTGTGGCGAGACTTAAATTCCTATCACATTATGCAACAAACCTTAATTTATGTACAGAAGAGCAAGAAGCAGGTGCAGCTGGATCAACAGACAGAAATGGCGACGCCGCTGTTGTGGATGATTGATGATTATCACCAGCATTCTTCAGCTCCTGAATTCGAGAAAGAGCTAATTCACATGTCTCCCTAACCTCTTGTGCCGGATCTGAATCCAAACTGTCCTTCAGAAGAGGAATATTACTCTCTAAACCTATAGCACCAAGAGCTTCTGCAGCCTATTCGTCAATAAGTAATACAAGCAAAAGACAACCGAAATATTAGCAAAACATAAGAAGCATTGCTGGAAAAGTATAGAAAAACAAAGGGAAAGAATGCAAGTGCCGGAGAAAAGTCCACCTCATGACGTACGATAGGATGCAAAGAAAGATCATTGAGAACAAGCTTCAAAGCAGGAATAGCATCGGCATCTTGCATTTGGCCCAAAGCAAAAGCAGCCTCATGTGCCAACAGATTCGAAGAATCTCTTGTTGCTGCAATAGAAAAAAGTTATCTCTCTTAAAACTATTATTAAGACTATGAGGGTCCGCTTGGTAAGTGGGACAAAACAGAACATGACACACCAATTTAGGGGCGATGTTAGACTGGAACTGAACATGGCTAGATGGGGAAAAAATCACCAAAAACGGTGGAACAAAAACCAGACAGATGGAACAAGAATGACAAAGTACTAAACTACCCATCTCAAATTAGAACCCTAAAACCTTCCATAATTCTTCCCCTCTCACCCGTCCGGTTGGCTAGTTCTCGGAGAAGATGACTTAAAGGGCTGTTTGGTTGGTTTTCCATTAAGTTCTGTATCGACAAAGTTGTCTGTGTGGATTAATCTGCCTGTATAGATTGGGAAGGTTTTTGTTTGAGATGCTTGCTTCATAGATGGAATGAACATGTATTTTAATTGGGAAGGGTGAGTTTTGGGAAAAACCAAGTTTTCTGCATAAAGCTCCCCCTAGAAGCTCGCTGAAGAAGACACTTTCTATGTCATTAAACCACTACCAACCATTACCAAACAGTCATGCAGAGCTGACCGAATAAGCTGCAAGTCTCATCAACCTCACTAAGCTGCTAACAAACAAAGACTCATCACACAAAGCATGCAAGATAGTGATTTTTTATGCTAAAAAACTACTGTCGTAAACTTCGATTAACTTCCATGAAATACAGGAGGCAAAAATAACTTTGTACAAGGTAAATTCAACATTTCTCTTCCTGCAAACACATCATACCCTCATAAATGTATTCCCTTTTCTTCTCTCTCAGAATAATATGCTGGAGATTTAGATCAATAATTCAGCATCATTACTGAAATCATGCAATCATTGCTCACGTTCTTACCAACAATTGCTGAAGGAAAACTTCAAACCATCAATGCTACTTATAAGGTCGCCAGTTTAAGTGTTTAAGTTCGAAGTAGGGTCATAATCAAGCACAGTTCATAATCATCTCCAAAGCAAAAAAAATTATCGTAGAGAGAATAAAACCCACGTAAATTATTGAACAGACGGAGAGAGGTAGAGAGTGAACAGACCAAGTATTAAAGCATTGCGAGGAGCAGGACCTCGCAGATTCCGGAGAGAGAAGAGGACTCTGAACCGCTCCGAAATCGGTTGCGTTTGGTCCAATAATCGCTCGCAAAGAAATTTCTCTGTCTCAGGAGTGACTTCGAACGAATTTCCATCAACCGCCATTTCCAACTTGAGCTTAAAGCTTGTAATTTTAAAAAAAATGGAGGTAAAGTGGAGAGATCGAATTGCCAAAACCCTAACTTTTGCAACGAATTCAGCGTGTTGGGCCAAATACTGCGGGATAGCATTTAAGTTGGCTTACGATTGCAGCCATCGTATATTTTCTGATTTGGTCCTTTTACTTTTGAAAAATGCTACTTATGTCCTAAACAATTCACATTTCACTCATAATAAGTCACAAAATATCGTACACTTCTACTTCAAATTTGACAAATTTTTTGTTCTTTGAAAAGGTAGATATAAGAGAGAGTTAAAACGAGAACGTTATTGTATTATATAAACGTCAGAACGTTCATATCACATGCGATACTGAATTAGAGGTGAGGCAACCTTTGGCGTGAGCCAAATTGCTCACACACCACCAACCGCAAGTCGCCTCACGTGTATTATTACATGTGATATGAGTGTTCTCGCACTTTCGTGAAATGTTCGTGTTCTCATTTGTACCCATCCCAATGGATTTAATGTATATAGAGGACGACGAAGCATATGGAAGGGTTAAAAAAGTCATCCAATAATGCAAACGTTAAAAATGTAACTAATTTTTTTAAATGTAGTTTCATTTATACCAAAATGATAGAAATAACGTCTTAGGGGCCTTTTACCAAACAATTACCCGGTAAGAGCTTACCGGTTAAATTTAACACTATCATTTACTTATCGGCTAAAATTTTAATCTATCAAAATGGTATCATATGCAACAATTTACTTGGTAAGTGCTTACCGTGGTAAGAGTCGTCGTCATCACTTAACGGGTAAAACTCTTGGTCTTTCTCTTGCACTTATCAGGTAAGATTTTTGGTCCTTACCATATCATCTGGTAAGTAAACGATAATGTTGAATTTTACATGTAAGTGCTTACCGGGTAAATGTTTAGGTAAACGACCCCTTAATCAAAGTTAACCGTAGGATGATATTAGATTTTATATTTAATATCTGCTTTTTTCCGAACCACTTTTGAAGTTGGATCGGAGATTATTCAAAAATTTAAAGTTAACAAACACCTAACAATAGTTCAAGGTCTTTTTGGTAAAATACCCATAGATGAAGGGTCCTTCCTGGACAGTATAAAATGATGAAACAAAACAACCGAAATATATTCCGAATCAGTCATCGGAGCAAAATCGGCCACCGGCGATAATCGTTTAATGGCAATTCGAGTAACGATACGTGCAAGAATCAAAGAACACAGCACACAATCCACTGAAATTCGTTTGTCGTCAAACCCTAAAGGTACGTGAATTAAAATCCTCTTTGATTACAACTTCTCTTTGATGATCCGATCAGATCCGATGCTATGATCATAATCAGATTTCTCTTTTCGTCGCGTTTTGTGCGTGTTCCTAAGCGTTCGATTTGGAAAAACAATTATAAGGAGAGAGAAATGAATTTTGTAGGGTTTTTTGAGGATGGGTTTGAGTAAAACCGAAATCAATCTGAGAAGATTGCTAGCAACTGCTCCACGGCAACAAAATAAAATCAAGCTTGTTCACGTACGTCTTCTAAACATCGGTTATAGTTTCTTGCTATCGTTAATCCCCCATTTCAATTTACATCTATATGAATCACATGAGTTGTGGATTTGGGAAATGTAGGTTCACACTTGTATGAATTTGATCTGGGGATCTTGTTTGCCACAGAATTATGCCTGTAACTTGTGGATTTCTTGTTTCTCTAAGTCAGATGCAAAATTATGGAGTTTTGAAGCACAATTTCGATTTTGTTCTTCATTTTTAGTGCCATTAGTGATTTCAGATTATGGGTTGTGGAGATTCTTTTGTGATATTTGGTTATGAATGTGTAATACTTTGGTTATTTTTGCAGTATGTTGCTACTTTAAGAGAACAGTTGGAAGAACTCGCCACAGAGCAAACTCCAGAAGGATTTCCCAGGCTCGATTTCTTTACTTTCTTCGTCAGTTCGTTTGTGTGTTCTATGGCATCTGAGAGTTGCACAAAATGCTTAATCTGATAAGATTATAGTTTTGATCTTGTGCCGTAGAGTTTCAAAGGCTATGGTGAATGATTACTCGCATAAAATTGAAGCAATTGCAGCCAAACTGGCTAGCTCTGTGGTGTGTATGTTTCTATTTGTTACACTGGATTTACAATTTCTGTTTCTGAAGTTGATCTTATGGATGTTTTGACTGATCTTCATAATGAAGTGACACTTTCTTGTGTTCAGTCAAGTTATTCACATGTGAAACCTTCATCTTTTTAACAAATTCTTGTGTTCAGTCAAGTTATTCACATGTGAAACCTTCATCTTTTTTGCAAATTCTTGTGTTCGGTCAAGTTATTCACATGTGAACCCTTCATCTTTTTTGCAAATTGTTCAACTTCATTCACGATATATGGTTTTCTAAACAAACCTTAGATGGTATATAATTATATGTTGGTTAACATTCTTGGCAGTCGGATACTGTACCGTATCACGAGCTTAGAGTTAAAACATCTGTCAAAGAAAACATCGGTAAAAAAGAAGAAGAAAGTATCACCCTTTCGCCGGGGTTGAGAAGAAGACTCGTGTGAGCATAAACTAGATATAAAGTCTTGTTGATTTAGCTTTTTGTCTTACGATTTCAATTCTTGATCATAGTTATTTCATCATGATTCAACAGGCCTTCATCAGCTGAACACAGAGGTCAAGATACTTTTGAATCGTCTGAATCATCTCCTGTCAAATTGGATGCTGCAGCCCAATCACATATTGCAAAACACAGGTACTTCATGCCTAAAACCAAATATCTAATCTAAACCAGACAAACCTAGTATATCTCATCTGAAGGTGGGGTCCAGGAGGTTGAAAATATATGCAGATCTGACATCCATTCTAAATAGTAGGGGGGTTGTTTCCCAGAAGATAAAAACCAATATCTCATCTAAATCAAACAAAACAAGCCCGATATATCCAATATGAAGGTGGGGCCTTGGGGTTGAGAGTTGAGATGTATGCAAACCTGAAATCCACCCCAAATAGTAGAGCGGCTTTTTCCCTAAAAGACAAAAAAATCTTAACCAAACAAAACAAGCACAGTATATCCCGTCTGAAGGTGGGGTTTGGGGGTTTGAGATGTATATAGACCTGAATCCACCCTAAATAGTAGAGTGGATTTTACCCTGAAGACAAAAATCAACATTTTATCTAAACCAAACAAACCTAGTAAATCACATCTAAAGGTGAAGGTGAAGGTGAGTTCTGGGAGGTTGAGATGTATGCAAATCTAACATCCATCCCAAATAGCAGAGGTGTTGTTTCATGAAGACAAAATCAATGTCTTATCTGAACCAAATTAAACCAAATAAGCCCGGTATATCTCATCTAAAGGTGGGCTCTAGGAGGTTGAGATGTATGCAAACGTGACATTCACCCCATATAGTAGAACAATTGTTTCCCATAAGACAAAAACCAATGTCTCATCTAAACCAAACTAAACAAGCCCAATATATCCTACACGAAGGTGGGGTCGCGGGTTGAGATGTACGCAAACCTGACCTACACCTCAAAGAGTAGAGCGACTATTTCCCTGAAGACAATGTCTAATCTATGGAGCACAAATGGTCGTTTTTTTTCTTTTAATAGGAAGCTTCAAGAAGATTTGACAGATGAAATGGTGGGTTTGGCGCGGCAACTCAAAGAGAGTAGTCTTATGATGAACAAATCCATACAAAATACCGAGAGAGTAAGTTGTTAGAAGTCGTACTCCAATCTCATTTACGTTTGAGGTTCGCCTAGACCTTTTGGTATTAAAATTCGGCTCGCAATTTGAGTGCAGATTCTTGATTCAACCGAAAAAGCAGTTGAACATAGCTTGGCAAGCACCGGGCGAGTCAATAAGCAGTCTACGGCTATATACAACGAGAGTTTCAAGACTTCATGCTTCACATGGCTCGTGATGGTTGTAATGATGTGTATCTTCGTCATGGTGGTTCTTCTTATTAAAGCGACTTGAAGTCCGGTTTGGTAGTTTTAGCCAAAGCTTCGTTTCTTGAAGATGAAACCCTTAAAAAGAATTTGATAAACGAAAGAAAATTGAGGAGACTAGGCATATTCGGCATGGAAAACTTGTCGGTTTTTGGGAAGTTCGTTATGTGTATTCCTTTCGGATGTTGTCACGATAAATTTGGAGTTTCGGCTTAATCAAAAGTGTAAATGGTTCGGTTTTTGATTCGATAATGGTTGAAACCAAGAATTACGCTCTCTTTAACCGTTCCAAATTTTTGAAACCGCACTAGATTGTTGATGTGAGGTAATCAAAATCATTATCATTATCATTATCATTATCATTATCATTATCATTATTTGATGTTGTCGAGGGTGGAGTTATGAAGACGGGAGAAGAAGTTGCACGTGCACTCATTCTATAGATTGAATTTGGATGTTGAATTTTTGGGTACGATCTGATTTAATTATAACTGGATATTCAATTATTGTCGGTGGTTTCTAATTGAATCAAATGATTTTTTGCACACCTACCGGTAATGTACTTGGGGGAAATGACATGAGATGGATGCCTTTGTTGCACGAGATAAGACAAGATATAACAAAAACTTGTTGTCGTTTGGTGTGACAATTAGGGGTTGTTTGTCGTTTGGTTGGTTTTCCATTAAGTCTTGTATGGATAAAGTTGTGTTAGTGGATTAATCTGTCTGTAGAGATTGAGAAGGTTTTTGTTTGAGAGTGTTTTTTAATCGGGTAGGGAAGGTTTCGAAAAACTTGACTTTCTGCATGAACTTCTCTAGAAGCTTACTGAATAAGTTATTTTCTATATCGTTAAGCCACTATCAATCAGTCATGTATAGCTAACCAAGCTCATTAAGCTGCTAACAAACAGACCCGCAAATAAGTTGAGACTTAGTAAGTCAAAAATGTGTTTTTTTTTGTCCCACCAAAATAGGTGGAACAAGGGAAATGAAACCAAACCAACTTGGCAAATTAGTAAAGTATCCTTATCATATTAAAACCCTAAAACCTTCTATAATTCTTTCACCTGCCATCTCACTCTTGCCCGTCCAGTGCTATCTAGTCCCATTTGCAAACCAAACGCATCCTAATTGAGTATAGTGAATCAGATCTATCGGAGAACATCTTAAAAACAACTTTACTGACTTGTTGAGGGGGTGTTTGGGATTGTTTATAAAAACAACTTATTGATTTATTTTGGTATGACACCGGTAATAAACACTTTTGAATGTTTGGATAAACAACTTATACCGATGCCAAACCGGTAATAGGGAGTTTTTGAAGAAATTAAACCATTCCAACTTATAACAAGTTGATAAAGACTTTTGTAAAAAAGTATAAGTTGTTTCAAATAAGCAATCCCAAACACCCCAGAGAATGATCGTTGCTCGAGTTATTTAACTTTTGGAATGGTTACAACCGAAGGAGGGGTTTCAACACCTGTCTTTGTACTCCCGATGCCCCATTGATGATGAATTTCAACGTCTACGCTTTCTTTTATCTAATCCCCTAGTTTGTTTACCGACATTCATTGGATGCAGGGACGTCCGTGGAAGCAGATCTCTTCTTCTTGGTGATATTGAAGACGGTGATAGAAGGCATCATTTTCATTCTTTATCCTGATTACTGCTCTTGCTTATGTATTTCCTAGAAAAGGGAAAGTTCGGTTGCAAACATGTTTTCCGTTGTGAAGTGTGAAAACAAAGAAGAGCTCGACACGTCCCAATTTGTACCCATTCATCATGAATAATGAACATGAAATTTTTACAACATTCATTCAGGATGAATGATACACCATTCACAATGAATATCCCTGAATGTCCGGAACACGTTGCACGCTCTCCTTTGTCCCCTGGTTCACAATGGAACTTAAGTTTGCAATTGAACACCGCAATTATAGTAACTTATCAGTGTCATCCACAGGTTGTAATCTCTTTTCTCATTAGGGGGAATGATATGAAAGTACAAGGGCTAAAACGGTAAAATTGAAAAAGAAGCTGCACCAGCCGGGAATCGAACCCGGGTCTGTACCGTGGCAGGGTACTATTCTACCACTGACCACTGGTGCTTTTATGCCATATCATTATATTTTTATCTACTAAGAGATAATATTACTATGTACACGTGAGACCAGTAAAACACTCTGAAAATAACCTTTACAGTGTTTTGTGGTGAAGATTTGACTTTTTTTTACCTTCACAGTGGTTTGCTGTGAACTTACAAGTGTAAAAAAATGGTTTCACGGGTCTCACGAAAACAGAGTAGTCTCAGGTAAACCCAATATAATTTTGCGTTTATTTTTTAAAGAAGTTCCAAAAACCAAAATGTCAAGTATCTAAATAATATATTTTTAACAAATAAACCATTAAATTTATTCTCATTTTGAATGATTAAGTTTCTAAATTATTTTAACGAATAAACCATTAAGTTTTCTATTTTGGGTCATTTTTTAATAAATAAATAATTGATTTATTAGAAATTAGTTATATACATTATTTTAACCCAAGAAAAAACTATCAGTAAACGGCTAGAAAGTTATAAAGTAAAAAAAATCTAAATCAGTTTTACCGTTTTTAAATTTTACATCATAAATACTCCTTGCACCCAACGTCATCGCTCCTCCTCTTCGTCCACTCTCTATCACCGTCGTTGGACCCTTACCATCGATCTCCATCTTTTTTATCAGCTTTATTTGTTTTTTGATTTTCTCTTTTTTATGTCTATATGTACTCCATTAAAATGTTGTAAAAGAGGGAGAGCTGAAGGAGAAAAAAACAGATAAAAAAGAGGAAGGTCGATGATATGGGCCAATGACGATAATGGTTCATATAGAGAACGTACGATGCTGGGGCAACGAAGGAGAGCGATGTCAATAACTGCGACGGGTTTGAATGACACAAGGTTTGAGGACTGTGAAACTGATTTAAGTTTCTTTTAATTGTTTTAGAACTTTTCTAGCCAGTTACATGTAGCTGTTTTGGGTTAAAAAGACATAGGTAACCAAAGTTCAATGGTTTATTTGTTCAAAAAACAATGTTCAGAGACTTGATTATTCAACATAAAAAAGTTTAATGGTTTCTTCACTAAAAACAGTGGGATATTGATGAATATGATTTTAGTCTAGTTGGACTCTTCATCCTCCTTTTGATTGTGATGCTACAAATACAAAGCTTAAATCTAATTTTTGTAAGTTGGTCTTTCCGTTTACTGATCATGTTTTTGGGATTTATCAGTTGCGATCATGAACTATGAGCCTGTTATGGTATGCGATATGATTTTGGCTTATTTATGATCGATTGGTATTTTATTTATTTTGTGAACCCTTCTGTACAATTATGTCATCTATTTAGTTCAAGATATTGTGCTGCGGAAAAAAGTTGGGCTACCCTCTAGAGTGTCCTCACTGTACCAGTCATATGACCATCATGTGGAGGTATATCGCAGTGTTTTAGGACAGGGTAGATGAGAGCCAAATTTAAACCCGAGACCTGGTTGTGGAAATATCAGTTGTTTTCGTTTGAACAATTCAAGAGGGATTTCAAGACATTATTATTCCCTACTAGTCTTTTATGGCCTATTTGAGTGGAGAGCAAAATGAGATTTCATAAATATCTGGTGAGCAATTCATAAAAAACGAAAGTTCAGTGACCAAAGTAGCCATTTTCCAATTTGATGATAATTAGTTGTAAAACACTAAAAGTACAAGGGCTAAAACTGTAAAAGTCAAAAAAAATAGAAATGCACCAGCCGGGAATCGAACCCGGGTCTGTACCGTGGCAGGGTACTATTCTACCACTAGACCACTGGTGCTCTTGTGACTTTGTGTTCTAAATTCATATTTATAATGATTAAAATTTAAAACGTGACATATAAATAATTTTTTTTATTAGAATTAAAAAAATATTTAAATAGAAAAATGTACTACTTTGTCCAAATACAAGACAAGGCCCAGGTTTGATCATGTGTTTTTTTGTTAGTCTTAACTGCTGAGTGAGCCAATCACTAAAAAAAATTGGGTTCTAAAACGTCAAAATTATATAAGTGTCTAAATAGACTGTTTTATATCACATGAGTTTACGGGACCACACGTTAAAGTGTCATGTAAATGTTGCAAAAGATGTATAGAATGTTTTTGGATGTCTTAACAAGTTTTTAAGAATATTTTTAAAATAAAACATCGTATTAGCTATATATATATATATATATATATATATATTCTTTTGAATCATTCATAATAAAACTTTTTCCGTCCGTTCCAAAATAAACATGTAGAATATAAGAGTCAACACTTTCACTTAATCACCAATTAAAATTCTTGGTCACCAGAATGATATCGTGAGATTGTTTCTAAACACCGTTATATTTGACCAGGTTTTTAAATCATCTCTTATCTGATAAATGTTTAGTTTCACAGTAAAAGGAGATAAATGTTTAATAAACAACCTTAAAGTGCTCGTAACATTTACCGTTAATTAAGTAGTGCTTACAGGGTAAGAGATCGATAATGTTGTTTATGTGGGCGTGAGTCTCTCAAATCACCGGCTGTGAAGAAATCAGTTAGGATCTTTGTTTTAGGAAATCACTCTAATCATGGGGTTCCTACAATTGTAGCCGTAAATAGTAGAATTGCTCCCTAAAATAGTCTCTTCTGTTTTCTATAAATTGTATCTTCTTGTTGTAACCGATATATAGAAAAATAGAAGCTTTGATTTGACAGTTTACCAACACTGTATGAGTAACAAATATCACTGATAGATAATAATATCTTACCTGATCAAACACTTACGCAATTCTTTAGTAAATGACGTTGAATTTTTTTGTGTAGGGTTCATTTCTCAGCTATTGAGAACCAACCCTAACCATAAGTTTAACTTCGATTCTTAGAGCATCTCCAACAAGTATGCTATATTTTCACTTTTTTCTTTAAAATTTGAAGATTTCTCATTCCTGTTTTTTTTTTCTATTTCAAAGGAGAGTTTAGTATAACTGTTAGAGCAAACTTTTTTCAAATCTCTAAAATTTCTAAAATATTTGAAGATGTTTTAAACAGGTTAAGCAATTTCTATCGCACAAAAACTGGATTTTTTTCAACATCTTTTAAGAAAAGGATTAATTTTCTAATGTAATTCATGGATTTCGTGCTAAGCTCATGTTTCAGGTTTAAATTTGATCGCTTCTTCTCATTCGAATATCAGAAGTTCATCATCATCAATATCACACACACACACACATATATATAGACTTGGGATCACGTGAGACTAATTTGTTTTCGCAAGACCTATGATATCATTTTTTTACACTTGAAACTTCAGAAAGTAACCTTTACAATGTTTTTACCGTCAAGGTTCTTTTTTCTTACCTTTACTGCGTTTTGCTGTGAAGTTTCAAGTGTAAAAAAATGGTCTCACGAAAACAAATTACCGGTCTTCTATATATATATATATACACACACATGCACAACTTCTTAAATAATTGATGAAAAACAGCGAAGGATCGACGGATTCTCAGCTTGAATATCTCCTAATGTTGGAGTACGAACGTGGATTAACTCCGAAAAATATGCTTCCATAGGGACGATAAATAATTAATTTCTACTTCCAAATATTTGATGAATTTAATGCATACACAAGGATCCTTCATGGTGGTTAGCAACCCCACAGCGCAATGAAGGATTTCTAAGGGGCTGTTCAGCTGTATATGTTAAGCTGTCTGTATGAGTTTAGTTGTTGTTGTGTGGTTATGATGCTGAATTTTCTTGATAATGAGCCCAAAATGATGAATTTAGTAATAAGTTCTTGTCAAAAAAATTAAAATGGTTTTAGGGTATTAATGAAACCTAATCCATTACTAAGAAAATACAATGGAAATGATGGAATATTTGTTGGCTTCACACTGTTTGATTTCTTGCATTTGGTAGATTCTCTGATCATTAGGGTTTTGATTTTTGAGTTCAAAGTGATCCATATATATACAAGCATTTGGTAACTTACTTCACCAAATATGTATAATTTATTGAACTTTAATTGTTTGCAACCCATATAAATATCTGATGATATATACATACATATATATATATGTATATATATAATGTAAACCCTAAATTAGAAGGGAAACAACAAAGATGGTTACCTGAAAAACATCATACGTACCGTATACCCTTTCAGGAATTTCAAGTTTCCTTTGCCAAAATTTTCTAAAAAGACATTCTGGGAACCTGGAAATGGTGTTTTGCCATCTCTAGTTTGAACAATCAATGGCCATATACTTGATACATACATACATACATACATACATACATACATACATACATACATACATACATACATACATACATACATACATACATACATACATACANATACATACATACATACATACATACATACATACATACATACATACATACATACATACATACATACATACATACATACATACATACATACATACATATATATATACATATATATATATATATATTCATGGATCATGGCCAAGTCGAAGCTCCAAATCCAGTTCATCTTGTTTATCTCCCCCTCGAATTCTTCTTTCCGAATCTTCATCTTCTGCATTCGACCAACCAAATTGTAAGCTAATCCTCCTCCTCTCCTCCTCCCTTGATGCACTTGTAATCACTTGATCATGATCTTGATGATTGTTTTCGTAGTTCATTGGCCGTAGATCACCCGATGTGGATGAAAAATAATGAAGCTGTCTTCCCTCTTGATGATGATTAGCAGGTGTTGCAGAAAGATAAGATGGTGGGTAACTTGCAAAAACTGGTTGGAAGAATCTTGGGCCTGAATAGCAACCATGATCATCATCATCTTGCTTATAATTTGAGCTTCTATTATTACTCGAACTATAACTCGACCTATTCGAATTCTTGGCTCTATCTTTCCGGTGGATGTTCATGTGTCCGCCCAACGCTTGCGCGGTGGTGAATCCGCGTTTGCAAAATACGCATTCATACGATCTTCCTCCATGATTGGTACCTAGTACATGATCATCTTGATCAATTTCTTGATCACTTGAATTTGTTGGTTGATCATCTTCATCATGATCATCCGTAGCTATGGATTCCATTGATGAAAGCTTCTGATTTACATGTAATTTGTGATTATGGGAAAGAGTAGAAGATATATGGTTAACTTTAGAGGGATATATAGATCTGAAATGAATTCTGAAGGGGAGACTTGTGAAGGGTTTTGCACTGGGAGCAAAATTGAGACAAGGTATTGGCTTTATTAATTATTAACAAAGATTTATTCTTTTAGCCGGCTATATATATATATATATATATATATATATATATATATAACCTATTCAATGGTGTGACTTGAACTTTGTCCTATACTTCACAAATACATGTTTGTAATTGAGTAGGATTATATGTATATAATTCGTCGTTTGCACACTTGTGATATATCCAATCCCGCTAATCACGAGCACTGATGAAGTTCCAAACGTGACGTGTAATGTTCGATAGGGTATATATATATATAGTTTTAGTATTTTGTTGATATTTGTCGGCTGATCGGGTTACATGAGCAAGTATTGACGAGAAATTAAATCGTAGACAAGTTCAACGGATTCAAGTTCCATCCCTTCAGTCGTTGGAAAATGAACGAATTTTATATTTGAGAGTAATCACTACGGGAGATCAAAACACGGCCGCTACAAGAATTAGGGTTTTTGAGTTCGACGTTAAGAAAAGAAACAAATTAACCCTAATTAATCTTAATATTAAGATGGCTTTCTTTAATTTGTTATGTCAATTTGTTGAATTAATTTCCATAGGAGTTGTTGGATTATTTGTTTCTCTTGTGTTTGTACTTCCCATTTGATGATATGATGTTAACAATTGATTGGTTTATCATACCAATTAATATTTTTAATATATATTTTTTCTAGAGATATTATATACACACAAAAAACATGTTTAAGTTCAGGGAAACCCGTAAAAAATGAGTATCTGAGGTATACCCTGTAATCGTTCGTCTAGATGGTATGCATATGTTGCATTCTAGTAATTTTATACAATTTGTCTGACATACACACATGAATAAAAACCAAGAAACAACTTTAATTACCAATATACACAGGTACATCCGGTCTAGATAAAGGGTTGTCATGATATTCTTTAGTTTTTTGTGTTTGTCTTAATTTAATGATACAAAGAAATAAGTAAGGCTACAATCATTATCAGTTTAATTAAAATTAATATTATTTAATTAATTATATTGCAGATTAAATTATAATATATATTTTTAATTAAATAAAATTAAATATGTAAATTACGAAGTCGCGACGGCAATGTTGGATATAAATAAATACAGCCACTTGAGAACTAACAACTTTTTTAGTTCTCATGGATACGTCAAAATCAAATGTCTCATCGCTACAACTTTTCGTAATCTTATATTTATAGATTTGGAATTACGTGACATTAGACTGTTTTCGTGAGACCCATAAAATTATTTTTTTTACACTTGAATCTTCACAGCAAAATGTTGTGAAGGTTAAGAAAAGCCGAACCTTCACAGTAAAAACATTGTGAAGGTTACATTCGCAACATTTCACTGTGAAGTTTCAAGTGGTCTCACGAGTCTCACGAAAACATGTTGATCTCACGTGATCCCAAGTCTTTTTTTTTTCTCTCTCTCTCTCTCTCTCTCTCTCTCTCTATATATATATATATATATATAAGTTTCTAAAAATTGGTTAAAAAAAGGTTTTCGGATAAAAATTCTACAACAGACTAGACGTAAATCAATAGAAATAAGAAAAGACATGCAAATTTGAATTAATTTATGAGAATTCTAATTTAAGATTTAGCCAAGGATCCAATCAGAGGCATAATTGGAATGAAATTCCTTGTCGGATAAGTTTCGACCCACACGAAAGGCATATACATATATATAGGGGCTCATTTAATGTAGAACTGGTTATTTTGTGGTAATCGCGTTTAAGATAATTAAGGATATTTCTTAAATAAGCTAAAAAGGTAATATAATAATTTTTTATTTTTGACAACTAATCAAAATATTTGATTAAATAATTTATAAGAAAATATTTAATTAAAATTAGTTACTTAGTATATCAATTATCTAATATACATCGTATTTTAAAAACATTTGTAAATCAAAGTGTATCATAATGATAAATTTCACAATGTTTCACGTATATCATAATGTATTTTCTTTGTTTTATGAAATGTATCATATTATGCATTTTCGTTATTTTCATTACTTTACAAATGTTATCATATTGTGCATCTTGTATGTATATCTGAGTATTACAATGAATATCGTTTGTAGGTATCACAGTGTTTTATAAGTATAATTTTGCCTTCAAATAAATTTTGTGCAGAAAATCCATTTTATATGTATATATATATATATATATATATATATTTTTTGTTGTAAACTTTAACTATTTGAGAAAAAAAATTTCTAAAATGGCTAAAAAAATAAAATCATTTATTTTGATAATTTTCCCTTAAAATCCTTAAGATAAATAAATTAAACATTTTAATTATATTTATACTATATTATAAAGTATTTGACAAAAACTCTAAAAAACCATCTTTTATGTATGAAGTATTCCATATTGATACATATTACTTAAAATACAAATAAATTGTGTGTGAGTACAACTTATTAAAGCTTTATGTTTGAATTCGTGTAACTAACTACAAATAAATATAATCAAATACAAGATAAATATTTTATTTTAAATATAAAAAATCTAAAACATAATTAGGATAATTATTGAGTTCAAACATAATATTTAATTATTATCTTTATAAAAAATTATATTATTAAATCAAAAATAAATTACTTCATTATTAAATATAAATTAAATTATAATAAAAAATTGAATTAAAAAAATTACAAAAAAATAATAACTTTTAAATAGTTAATTTGATACTAATATGGATATATTTTTTTTAAAGTTTTTATGATATTTTAAAATTTATATTTTATTCAAAAATAAAAACATTACTGTTTTCTCATAACCACATAAAACCGTATTATAACATCGATAGAAACAGAATAAAATAAAACATTAAAATCAAGATTTATTTCGTTGTATTACGCAAATACCCGTCTAGTATTTAATAATCTCTTAACGTGGAGTAGGATTAAAAATTAAATGTAATTTTAGTTTTTTAGATTCTGTTTTTATATAAAATTAAAAAAAAAATTGTCTTTAAAGATGTGTACATATATACAAAAAAGAGGCAACCTACTTTCTCTGTTTTTAGCATTTGTATTTATATAAATAAAATAGGTTTCCCTTTACCTTTTTAAGAGACAAAATATAATAATAAATTAATTATTAATTTGTCATGATTTTTGATTAATTATTAATTAAATTCTCAAAATATCTAAAAGGTTTATGCAAATGTGTCACATCTGAGATCATGTGAGATCAGCTTGTTTTCGTAAGACTATTTTTTACACTTAAAACTTCACAACAAAACATTATGAAGGTAGCTTTCAAGTGTTTTTGTGTGAAGATTCAGTTTTTTTTACCTTCACAGCATTTTCCTATGAAATTTCAAGTGTAAAAAAAAATGATATCACGGATCTCACGAAAATATGCTAATCTCACGTGAATCTAACCCAATGTGTCATTAAGTATTTGTCTGATAACAAAATTAGTGTTTTGATTACTAAATAATACTTCTTTAACGTTATTATCGTATTTTTTTTTCAATCTTTTTGACCAAGTCAAAGACGTTAATCGATCTTATTAATGATTTAATCAATTAATTTTATTTTTAAGTTGCCGACCAAAAACATTTACAAATTTGGTCCTTATAGTTTGTGGAAAGTAAGACTTTTTGTCCATGTAGTTTAAAAATTACAAGATGATTATTGTGATTTATGGGATGTTTGACGATTGTTGAATGGTTTGGTGTAGGGATCTACTGAGACTGAGCCATCTTCGACTGCTAACTCGTATAGTTGATTGTTCCTCAGAGGTCATCAGCTTGAGTCTACAAGGCTACTGAGGATTTTCCTAATCGTTCTTCAAAGACCCTGATGTTTGTCAAGATACATACAAGTTAGTTCGGACACCTGCAATTTAAAAGAGAAACAATTTTCAACTACGATGGTTAATAAATAGGTGTTGTAGCATGCATTCTTTTTTGGTTCAACCGAAACATTAAAAAAGTGAACCACAAGGGTGATGTCTGATTGATTTGAGATTGAGTTTCAAATCCAAGGAGGAATAAAAATCCCCTTGTAGCCATGGAGGTTCAAATGCGATGACTTCTGACTACCAACAAATTAATTTTATATTAATTATGTGAAGATGTTATGGGAAGGAAGAAATTCAATCCACTAGTAAAAAAAGTATGTTTTGACTTGCTTTCTTTTTATTCTTTTAGTAATTTTTAGAACTGAATTCCTATTTTAATAAGAGTTTATATAAATCGTTATGCTTTAGATTTAAAAAAATGGAAAAATCCAAATTATTTACGTAAATGTGGATCCTTAAGTAATTTGCATATCAATTTCTTTTTCTTTTTGTTTTAATCTGAAAATCAAGTTTATGCAAATACGTAAGACATTTATGTAAACTCTAAACAACACTGGAAATTCGGTAAAAAAAATGACTAAAAAGTGAAGTTGATTATTCGGGTCAATTTTCTAATAAAAAGTGGTAGCAACGAGAAGAGTACATTTAGAACGAGAGTTAATAAATACACGAATGAATGAATAATGGGAGACAATTGACTTGAGAGAGTCTCACATGAATATACTCGGAGCATCTTTAAGGGTGCGTTTGGTATGCAGACTACATGGGACAGGACGAGACAAAAAAAATAGTCCCACGTTTGGCATGCCATGGACAAAAAAAACATGGGACAAGGTGGGACTATTTTTAATTTTAGTGGGACAAATCTTGATTTTTTTTGTTCCACCTAAAAAGGTGGAACAACATGGGACTATTTTACAATTATTATATAATATAAAATAACATTGAACAATATTTAGGGGTAATATGGTCATTTTAATAGTTTTGTCCCGTCCTGTCCTAGTCGTACCAAACATAGGACAGACAATTAGTCATGTCCCATCCTGTCTTGTCCCGTCCTGTCATATACCGTCCCGTCCTGTCTCGTCCCATCCTGTCTGCGTACCAAACACTACCTAAAAGCTATGTTAAAGAAATTGTATA